ATTTTGCTTACCTGCTGCTGTCACAGAGCCCAAGTCGGGTAGCCTCAGGAACCAAGCGATGAGGCTCAAGCGGAAGTCAATCAACCGCACGTCGAAATCCACTCCGAAAGACAAGGCTGCACTGCACTGGGCGCATAGATCAAACGATCTTCCGCACAAGAGTTAAAAGGCCGTGGAAGTGGACTTCTGGGGAGAACCCGAATCGTCTAACAACCCGAGAGGCGGTCGTTTGGTTCAGTTAAGCAAAAGCGGGGGATGATGATGATGATGGTGATGATGAGAAGAGGTCACGATGTCACTCTGGCCTGATGAAAGGTGGAAGAGGAAGAGGCGGAGGAGGAGGAGTAGGTGCAAGTAAGCGAGCATCAGGTCATGAGGAGAAAATCATCGTCTAACGGCGCCAGGAGTAAGCAACGGCAACGGCGGAACTCGTGGTGATAGCAGTAGCCGGTGTAATTGTGGTTGTAGTTGCAGTGATGATCATAGGCAATGGCAGCAGCTGGAAGAGGAAGAGGAGCAGAAGAGTACCGCAAATCAGGACCAGAAGAATGAAGAAAATCAACAAAAGCGAAGAAGCACAAAGGTAAAGGTAATTAAGTCAGAATAGTGGTGGCCGGTAGTAATCCAGACACGATAGAATAGTGGCCGATATAGCTGATAGTTCGAGCCAGCGGGATTATGACGCGCTTGGCAGGTGAGAATTGGAAAAATAAAAAATAAATGAAATACGGTAAATCAAAATGAAAAGGGAAAGGGGGAAAGGGAAAAAAAAAAGCAGAGGAAAATAAAATAAAATAGGATAAGATAAAACAGGATAGAATAAGAAAAAAAAAGGTTCAGGGTACGGCCGGAGCGGTCAAGAGCACAAAAGCAGCAACCGCAGCGTGGGAAACGGCAGAACCGAAAGGAAGGATCCGGTTAGAAGCAGAAGAGAAGGAAGCAAGAAAGGGAATAAGGTGAAGAAGGAGTAAAGAAGCAGAAGTGGAAGAAGAAAACCCACACAACAACGGGTGAATGGATGGATGGATGAGAATAGATGGTGAGTGGATGGAATGGAATGGGGTAAGGAGATGAGGGACAGGATGGGACAGGACAGGACAGGATGGGATGGAATGGAATAGGACGGAGACGGAGAGTTAACTGGGTCGTTAGTCTAGTCAGTCAACAACTAGCTACCTTAACTTACCTCACTTCACTTCAGTTCAAAAGTCGAGGCCGTTCAAGCCGTGGTACAGTACTCCGTACTCGGGGTGGGATTATTGAAGAGGAGAAGGAACCGTAGGAAAAGCCGCGCTGACTGAAAGTCGATCTCCACACCCAGCCCGGCCTGGAAAAAAGACACGGGGTGGAGAAACAACAAAAGAGACAAACGACAGGACAAGTTTCTTGCTTCTACACTAGTAGCATCTAGTCCTGCCAAAAGACACCACCACCACCACAACATCGCAACAATCAGCTATGACCATAAGGTGGACACAAATAGACTCAGAGAGCAGCAATCATAAGAATAATGTAGAAGACCAAAATGCGATTAGAAGTGTCTTAGTGAGTGATAAGTAAGTTAGCTAACCCGTCTGTCTTCCTTTTCTTTTTCTCTCGTATTGTGTTATCCCCTCCCCAACTACTAGTTATTGACTGGCAATGACCCTATTCTATTTGTCTGCCTGGCTGGGCTGGCTGGGCTGGGCTGGCTGGCTGATCCTGAATTGACTGACCTCTTTTCTCTCGTTCCCCTTTCCCTCTCTCTATCTGGCATCCCCATTGACTTACATGGTGGGTGGGTGTGCGCGCGCAACAAAGTTTGACTGCCCGTCATGAGAATCACAATCACGATGATCAACCTTTCCGGGGGTTGTCCCAAATTCGCATTGAGGCTCCACCTGCGTCAAAACAAAATGGGAGAAGAGGAGGCCCTGAAGAAGCGTTGAGGGAGTGACTGGAAGCTGACTCCCAGACGCGCCACTGCAGCAGGCAAACAGAGGTAAGTGGGGTGAGTCTCCCCACGACTGAGAGACTGACAATTGCCGGGAAAGAGGAGACCCTAATTAGGTACTATTCTATTGACATCTGCTGGTAATGTGGACTCCTACTTGGAATGAACCTTACACACAAGAAAGCAGTCTACCACATTGGAGACCTGCGAGAAAAATTGATGTTCAACTCTCGAATATCATTCCTTCCTTCCGGTCCCCTCCTTTGAAACAAGAAGAAGAAAACAAAAAAAAGAATAATGCCACGTCCACGAGGCTGACCCAGCCAGCCTAAACCGAAAAGAGGCTCCACCCATATGAGGCTCTCTGCATGGAAGTCAATGATTGGCAGTCAATCGCGGGCACAGGTGAAGAGGCTGAATTGTTCATCTGCACAGAAACGTCGTGGAACTTGGCGACTAGGGGGAAGGTGCGTTTGGCTTGCCGCCGCCACCCCTTCATCTAGGCTGAAGCCAGCAGCTGTTAATGTGGTGGGTGGTGGTGGTGGTGGTCTTCATGATTACTTCTTCCACGCAGGGCGATCGTCTCAAATCGAGGGGATTCTCGATCGATCGGCAGAGCTTTCTGTTTCCGTTTCTCAATGTCTCAGTTCTCTATATCCGTAGATGCACAGTGATTTACTCGTTTAATTTTTCGTCTTTTTTTTTCGGTTGATCCTCGATCCATTTCGAGCCAACAGTCGTACTGGGTAGCATACCTCAGGCGACAAGGCTGCTGCCGGTGCAGTTGTTTGATGGCTGACCGCCTCGGAACGAATCTCAGTCAGTTCCCAAACCTCCACTTCGCTTTGCTGGACAGAATCCTTCTGGCTCGGTAACACAGACGGCACGGGAGAGCTTTTTAGGTCTTCATTCACTCATTGAGCCCTTTATCATGCACAGGGATTCTCATAACTGGTTATGAGAGAAAGAGTCCCGAGGCAGGCAGCATCCATCAAAAAACCAGGAATTGCAAAGCAAACAGCAGCAGCAGCGACCGCACTTGCGAAAAGGTCACATTTAGAACGGACGAGGAGTCTCGAGGAAGAAGAATGATGCAACAACTCTTAGCCACTATAGATCGCTAAAAACAAAAATCTAAACTAATCGCGGTCTGACGGTGGTTGACTTTCGTATGGACATGACTGATCGTTGACTAGGTAGTAAATAGATTGATTGAGGCCCAGTAGTTGCGCATAGGCACTAACGAGCTGTGCCGATTCCGAAGGCCCCATCTTATCGAACCTAACCAGTAGCCGCGGGCAGGATTGAGGATACATGGTCCTGAGTACAAAGAGGAATGGGAGGGGAGGGGAAGAAAGGAAAGAAGAGGAACAAAAGTCAGATCAGGTCAGGTCAGGTCAGGTCAGATCCAGGTCAGCTTTGTTGTGTCCCACTTCTACCCCTCCCTGTTTATTCCGGTTCTTCCCAGTTACATCGCACGGCCATTTCATCATCATCATTATCATCATCAATACTGTCACCAACAACAATAACAATAACAATACCAACAACAATGCCAACAGCAAAACAATAACAATAACAATAACAGCATTGTTGCTGAAATATTCGCACTCGTATTCTGGATGGTTAGTGATTACAGAGTTGACCTCTTTCGGCATTGGTTTCGACCCGTCGAATCCCAGAACCATGAATCGGAATGGGTCTATGAGGGGTTGGGCGGGAAACGGTTATCTACACCATGACCTTCAACTAACCCATGTAGGAATGGTTCTTGAGACGGACTTTAGTTAAGGTAGCTATAACCAATAAAGAACTTAGGACTGAAGGCATTATTAAGACAGTTTCTCTTCTCTCGGCTCAACAAGAGACCTAATTATCCATTCTACGCTTGGCTGTCTGGAGTTCAATTCCGGATGAGCATGGGACAAGAAGATGGGAGATGAAAAAAGCAACACCAAGAGAGTCAAATATGAAAAGAAGGACAAGTAAAAAAATGCTTGATGCCTATCGGTTGTGCGCATCCAATCCTGATCTGATGTGCAGCCAATCCTCTATCCCCAATTAGGCAGGTCTTCTGGAGCGCAGTGCCAGGTGGTGAGTCTCCTGGATTGACAGGGTATACTGTGCTGTACAAGAGGTGATTACTCAAAATGAATGTTTGAATTAGATTGTTGCAATACGGGTAAATCCTCAAGAGTAGACAGACAGACGGACAGGCGCACTCGTAACCCACAATGATCTGATGGGCTCTTGCCCTTCCCTTCGCAAGCTCTCCCGAGGGCTAAGACCCGGAGTAATTGAGGCGTCGTGGTCACTCTGGTCACTGGTGAGACTTTTCAACTGTCACTCTGCAGATGATCGGGTCGTAGCCCAACCCCGGCCCCACGCGCTTTTTCCCTCCTTCCTCGCGCCCCTCCCTCCCCCCCTCTCCCCCTCCCCACTTCGTCGTCAGTGCACCGAATGATCGATGCTCGTTTCACAACGGGCAAGAAAGAAATAACCTATGGAAGTAATGAGGGCCGCTGTTGCGGCGACTGCTACGGTGCTACTGCTACTCGTACTGCTGGCCAGCGGGGTCCGACTTCAGCGACCAGCAGCTGAAGAAGGCAGATCGCTGTGCCGGAGGCCCATTCTCACCTGCAGGGTTGGCAAGATAGCACACACCACTCATACATACACTAGCTTCTAAGAACCCACCTTAAATGACGACATTGTTCTCTGGTGAAGGCTGAAGGTTCTCCAAGTGTGATAAGAGCTGGTACTGAGTAGGATTTGGAGGCAATTGTTTAACTGATTTAGCCTGTTCTTCCCGTCCCAGAGATGGAGGAGGTACTCCATGATGTACCGACCAGCTGCCAGCACAGCAGGAGGCTACGTCGGAGAAAGAAAAAGTACCGCACCCCATGAAAGTCATGTTGAACACCTGAACACCATTGGTTCCTTGGAAGGCTTACGGCAGCACCCATCTTCTGCCCTGGACAACCATCTTGCCCAGCTGCCCCAGTCAGGAGCCTCGACCACCATCGCACTGTAAGACTTACTATTCACATCCGAGTACCACCTCCCAAAAGCTACGAGTTACAAAATTCTCTCCATCGTGTCAACTTAGACAGCCAATCCCCTGAGCCAAAGCTAGCGTGCTCGAGTCACGACTTTTGAGGAAGTAACAATCATATGGGTGCAGATCAAGTCCCGATGGGTTACTCTGCACGACGGAAACCGCGAGAAAACCAGTTGTTGTCGTCGAGAACAAGGGGAGAAGACGCAAAGAAATAGCCCGATTGAAGGGCCCTGGACATCCCCCTCCCAACTCCTCTTCCGCCACCCGCAGCAAGAAGAAGAGTAGGTAGAATCCAGAGAAAAATAAGAAGCCACACCACCACCCGCACAACGAGGGCGAGAAGAAGGTCGTGCAATGCGACATGTCATCCGATAGAAGCGACCGGATAGGGACTAGAGGCGGCCCGCGCCGAAGCAAACTGACGGTACAGTTCACCAATTCGCGGATGGATCGTCGACGGTACTTATAATCCCCGGCTACTATGTTGTGTGGGTGGTCCATAAACTTACCCTGCTTAACAGCATTATTATTACAGTACAGAGTAAGCAGCACACAAACAAGAAAAAAAAAGGAAAAATAAAATCACATACGCATACGCATACCCACACACACACACACACACACACACACACACATACGCAACAAAAAGTGTTCGACTTATGTACAGTCAATCATACCCTTTCCTCCAAATCTTGATTACTGCCCGCATCACTGCAGCATCAAACATTAAACACCGAGGACGGCCCCACCGTTTACTGTACAGAGTACCATGTGCCACTTCACTCCTCGACCACCCGCTTCTTTCGTCTGCATCACCCAATCTGATCGACACCAAGACGGCAAGAAGGGTGCTAGAAAAGTATCGGAATTGGAGGAATGTTCGATCAATGGAAGGGCGGGCGAATTGCCATCTTCTCTTCCCGCTTTTCCTCCCACCAAAAGGAAAGAGAATTATATCTGGCCCGGTTGAACCTCTTTAATATACTCCGTACTATCCGGCTACTAAAAACTAGCCAACTAGCCCTAGCCAAGCTAGTCAAAGGAATGAGATCCCGTGTTTACTCACGGTATGAAGTAAAAGTCATTAGGTAATCAACTAATCAAACCACCTACTAACTTATACTGTACGTATGCCAGATTCCTTCGGACAACCTCCTTCCCTTGCCCTAAGATTTAGACTTCCCGAATCCTTCGGGAAAAAGCTGATACACTGTCGTACCTACTAGTAGTCTAGGGCAGTCATTTGGTTACCGTAAACAGCAAGAAGCGAAAGTCGGGCACGTTTCATTCATTCATTCATGCCTGAGGTTCTCGTTCTTGCTGCTGAGCGGAATACCGAATGTATATGGGCTAGTAGTCCCGGAAACTGAATTCCCAAGTCTCTGATGTCTGGACCCAATTGAATTGACTTGACTTGATTTGTCGCTATTGATGCGCTATTGATGGAAACATGGGGCCTTCAAGTCATCACCCCGAAGGGTAGTGAGTGGGAATTGGACGTGCTAACTCTCTCCCTCATGCTTAGTTCTTACATGGAGCATAGTAAGTTACTAGAGAGGAGTTTGTTTCCAAACGCACCTAAGGATAGATAGTTCCCATTGATAGAGCGACGCTACGACCCAATATGTATGTATGCAGGCATATATGTATGTCAGATCTGCTTACTATTACCCTGCCTCTCTTCCCTTGGCTTTGATGATTCTCTGCGTTATGTGATTTCTCCTAGGAGATTCGCACCGGGGAAGAAAAGCGGATGGGAAAAGTACTTGATTCATGCAGCTACAGTGAGCCTGTGGACCGTATGGCTTAGTTGACTTCAGTTGCGCCCTCCCATTTCTTTACTTTTTCTTCCTACTGACATCTGTTCGGGATGTGATTCCTGCCGAGGTTCTCCCCGAGCTTGGACCACACAGCGAGAAGAAGAAAACAAAAAAAAGAGAGCGAAGGTGCAGTGCGTAGAGGTAGCGGTAGCTCCGACCTGAACGAGAGGCTATACTGCTAAGCGGTGCAATACATAATTGTCAAAGTACTGAACAACGTATTACGATTGAACTGATCAATTATAGACCCCCCTCCTGTTCTAATGACTGAAAAGTCAACAGTAGTTAATTCTACAGCATCACATATGCGTACAAAATTCCGACGCTTCCTTGAGGCTGGGAGAAGGCGAGACCCAAGCTGAGGCTAAAAGGACCTACATACTTAGACCCCTAAGAGTACCTAGTAGTGGTAAGTAGCCCTGGAGCCGGGGCAAGGGGGAGCCGCACCCAACTGATTGCCTCAACCGGGGAGAGATGCGTTGGTGCCGGATTGTGCTGACTCTTCGGAATTTGCAAAGGCTTACTGTATGTACCGTACTGTACACCTGTGCTGGCCCGGGTTTGTTCCTTGCTAAGCGCATATACGAGGAAATCCGGCGTCATCCGCCTCCAACTGAGCCTAACACATATTCTCTGGCTTACTCCCTATTATCTTCCTACAGTTGGACTAATCTAACTCACTAACTGACTAGCCCGTCGACGGACCTCGGAGGGTTCCATGATTTTCCCTATAAGGACAGAACAAACAATTCGAAAAAAAAAAAATAAGTTTCGAACCGTGCACTTGCAAACTACTGCTGCTCATCCCTTTTCGTTGGCACTGGCTTGCAGTCTGATTGACGCACTGACACTGTTGCTAGTTTTCTTTTGTTTATGCTCTTCTAAGCGTGCACACTCATTTCACATACGAGTTCGTTCATCCTTCTTTGAGAAATCGTTGTTCTGTCTCGAACTCAATGAGACCGACGAGTCCGGCGAGTCACCTTACTTGAGAGAGTTCTCCAACATGGATTTGAAGTTCGTGTATTACATAGGGACATAGCTTCACAGTATATCGGTTTATAATGATGCACCTTTTCCTCGTCCTTCCTTCCTTCAATACTTTCCCCAAAAAGACCCCCAATGGAGCGTTCGGAGACAGTCATACGGCCGCAATCGATGATTTTATAGTTTGGCCCGTTGCCGCAGTTGTTCTTGCACCTGTTTGACTCGCTCCCACGCCTTCAGCGCAAATGGATTGGTGTTCCTGGCGTACTCCACCGCGCGAGCACTACTGGCCTGCCGAAGAGCAAACCGCGCCTTGATACCCTGCATGATGACCGAACTTCGCCATGAGAAGAATGCATCCCCCCATGGGATGTCGGGCGTGGGGTCATAGCCAGAGACCTCTTGGTACCATTGGATACAATCGGCTCGTGTGGGCAAGCCAGGGACCGCGTTGGGCTGGAACTGGTCTGTCTTATGATCTGTGCCTTCCAAGAAGTATGGGCTAGTCAGATTACAGAGGTCTGACAGCGGATGACCCACCGTGGCCATCTCCCAATCCAGGATGCCAATGACACGAGGCTCGGATTTATGGAAAATCATATTATCAATTTTATAATCGCCGTGCACGAGCGTGCCCCGATCCTGAGGCTGGGTGGCCTTATCGGAAAAGAACCGCACCATGTCCATGAAATGAGGCAGCTCGCCGACCGGTTCCTTGGTTTCCACATCCACCGCTTGGGCTTGAGCGCGAGATACTGCGGTGAATGTGGCGATCTGACGATCGTAGTAGCCCGACGGTCTTCCGAAGCGTTCCAGGCCAACCAGCTTGGGAACGACTCGATGGAATTTGGCTAGTGTCCGAACCGCATCCTGCCATCTATATCATCTTAGCTCGGGGGTCATCTTTGCCAAAGGAGAGGAACCCTGCAGGTTGAAAATCGACAACCAACAAGGCAATGACCTACAGTGCAGTCCTTTCGGCAGGGTCGACGCCGGGCATAGCAGGGTCAGTAAAGTGGCGGCCATCTAGGAACTCCATGATGTAGAAAGGCGTGCCTATCACATCGCTATCTTCACAGAGACAGTATGCCTTGGGCACAGGTACATCTGTATGTTCCAGCGCATGAATGATCTTGTATTCACGCTCGACTTTGTGCGCCGTCTTGGAGAGCAGCTTGCCTGGTGGCTTTTTCCGTAAGACATACTTGCTGCCGTCGGCGGTTGTGAGCTGGTAAGTCGGATTGGATTGTCCGAAACCGAACTGATCTCGGAATTAGTAATCTGCTTGATGGCCCAAGATGAAATGCTAGTCAACAGATAAGCTACCTGCTTCACATCTACCGGCGTCTTGATTTCTGGGACATTCTGATCGAGGTAGCGTTCCAAGGAGGAAACATCAATCGGTTGCCGCACGGCTCCAGCCATGGCGCAACGAGTTATTCGGATAATGAGATTGCGATAGCGGGTATGATTACCTCGCTTTTATGCCTCTGTAGTTCGAGACAAGTGGTAGCTGTAAGCTAGGAACGTGTATCATGGTTGGAAGGACGGGCAGTCAGAGGTGGTTAAGAAGGGCACAGGTACACGACAGGCTCAACCGAGGCTAAGCACCGCATTCCATAGGGGTTAATTTGCGGGGCGTCGGCTGTTAACCACCTTTGGGGGGAGGAGGGGGGAACAATACAGCCGCGGGAACTAATGTAGTTAGCTCGTCAGTTACGTACCCTGCTCTTAGTCATACAAGTCAAACAATGCAAACCGACCCAGCAGTCAGCCAGAGCAAATGCAAGCAGGCAAAACCACTTAACGCGCTCGTCGCGTGTTGACCGCCAGACGCGTCCCACCATGAAAGCTCTCCTCAATCTCGCATTTCACCGTCCGCCTCGACACACCGCAATTCTTCTTCCTTCCTCTCTTCCTCATCACAGAAGATATAGAAGAAGCAACTCATATCTTACGCATCTCTTCTCAACCTCATTTCCACAACCCCTTAAGCCAGTTCACAAGAGAATGACCAAGGAGACCACCCCTCCTCCCCCCGCCGAAACCACCACCACCACCACAACTACCACCGCGGCGGCCCACGAACCTCCCTCCGCTCCCTCCTCTCCCCTCGCCAAGCGCACAAAACCCAACACCGCCGAAGAACAACCCCAGCAAATATCCAACATGGGCTCCACCGCTAACCCTCTCCCTGCCCTCCTCGTCCAGAAGCTCACCCCCTCGGGTCGCGCCCCGACTCGCGGCTCCGCCTTCGCCGCCGGCTACGACCTCTACAGCGCCAAGGACACCGTCATCCCCTCCAAGGGCAAGGCCCTCGTCGACACGGGAATCGCCATTGCTGTGCCCGAGGGAACCTGTACGTGTTATCACCACCACCACCTCCTCCTCCTCCACTTCCACCCCCTCCACCACCAGATATAGCTCATTCGAGCAAAGATCCGTTTTTCTGTCTCCATAATTCGTAACGAAACACAGAGCTAACCAGAACTCGATCACGCTATAGACGGCCGCATTGCTCCCCGCAGTGGTCTCGCCTCGAAGCACTTCATCGACACCGGCGCGGGCGTCATTGATGCCGACTACCGCGGCGAGGTCAAGGTGTTGTTGTTCAACTTCTCCGATGTGGATTTCGAGATCAAGGAGGGTGATCGTGTGGCGCAATTGGTTTTGGAGCGGGTGAGTAAACCTTCAAGGGGGACAGGACAGTTCGAGGAAATTGGCTAACGCTTGCTTCTTTTCTTGCGCCAGATCTACACGCCTGAGGTGACTGTCGTGGAGAAGTTGGAGGAGAGTGTTCGTGGAGCTGGTGGTTTCGGTAGTACCGGTACCAACTAAGAAGAATTATTCATATGAATCGATGTGATGATGATGATTTTGGGAAGATCAAAAGATCGTTCTGTATATGCCTGGCAATATTTGGGGCGAAGCAGGAAGGCAAAACGCTTTGGGGGGGGGGGGGGAGGGTTTGCGTTCAAAGATTAGACCGTTTCGATTGCGAATATATAATGAAATGCATATGAACTTGAAACACTGTCATTATACACTTCACATTCTATACCTCATACTCTCCTTATCATCTAATCCTTGAATGAAAGTCTATTGTCTACAGACCTCAAAACCGAGCCCTGCCCATGCTAAGCAACATCTATCCTCGATCTATGCACACCCCATGACTGGATGACAGAAAAAAGTGTTCACCGGAATTGTGCTGGTAGATCGTCTTTGCTCCATTCCTGCGCCGGGAATTCTACCGTCGGCTCGCGCAGGAATTGGACGTGTCGCACTACTCGCACCTCTGCGGCTTTGCTCTCGCGTAGGTGCTCTTGTTTCTTCCTCTCTTCTTCACCAAGCACCTCCCCGTTGGAGACAACTGTTGCTTGGAGCTCGGTATTACGCGCTTCCATGGTTTTCTCGAGAATACAGTGCATGCTGGCGAGAACCTTGACGGTGGACTGTGCCAATGGTAATGCTGTGGCTGGGACGTCATCTGGGGAGACCCAGGATTTGGTGGTGCGGAGGGCGGGGTCGGCGGCAAAGACGGCCTCACGGAGCCGAGCCACCGTCAGGGCTGCGAACATGTCCCCGGTCCCGCTGAAATAACAGTCGAGTGCGGGAACGTCGACGCGGAACAGACGCGGGGAGCCATCAGAGCGAGTGGTGGAGCCGATCACGGTGAGCGTGTTTGCGAAAGACGTAGTGGACGATGCGGATGATGAATCTGAGAGGTTGGAAATCTGGACGGATGTGATGATAACGTGGGGAACCTTGTAGGTGGCGTGAATAGCGGTGATGGCTTCTGCGAGGGTGCTGAGAGAGGTAATTTTGACTCCGGATAGGACTCTGCGCATGACCATTAGGTGATTGCTCGGATAAGGGAACTGGGCAAAGAGAAGTCTTACTCGGCCTCAAATTGATTCGGTAGGATCAAGTCCGCGTGATGAATCATCTCCTTGTATGCGGGGACGACATCGTTGTTAACATAGAGTCGGCCTTGATCGCCCATGACCGGGTCCAGGACTGCAGCCAGTTAGATGATTTCGCCAAGGTCAATCAATGAACTAGCTCACCCCAGAAGAATGAACCTGGTTTCTTCTCTGCTTTGCGCTGAAGATCCATCCCTATAGCCCCGACAGCCTCCACCGCGGCAGCGCTGGGGGCGTAGCCAGACAGCATAACATCGAAGTCAGTAAGGTGGCTTTGGGTCAGGCCCTCGTAAAGCGCGGAGATCTCTTCAGCCGTTGCTCTTGTCCCCTTGAATTGCCTGTAGCCCGTGTGGTTGCCTGGCAATGTGGTCAACACTGTGCCTGGATGATTTAATACGACGATCGTAACAACTGACTAAAGTGCACTGTATTCAACGCGGCAACATCACAACCCAGTAGCTGCATGACCACACTGGCCATTTTATTGCCAACATATCTGTTTAATCAGCCTGGAGTCGGAAGAAAAGAATAGTGTGATCGTTTGTATATGCGGGGGAGAGATGAATGTGGTAGAAGACATCATCCGTCGTTCCCCACGATGTTATGAGACATACCCGTAGACGACCTAGTCCGGCTAGGTCAGCTGACTATTCGAGGGTCTGTGGAAAAAGATGAGAGATGAGCATCACGTACATGGCTGGCTACCGCGAGGACCCGTGTTTCGGGAACAAAGAGATCAGCGACCATGATGAAATGAAGGAGGAACTGGTGGAGGAGGGGAGGGGGAGGGGAGGGGGAAGGGAAGGGATGGTGGGTTCAAGTTTCGATGATGGAGATATATCAATGATCAATCATGCAGTGGAAGAGATCCGCTCTGGAACTGGGTCGGGCGATAGGCGAGCGGCGGAGCCCCATTGCCGTCCTCAGCGATTGGTTCCTGAGGCCGACCTGTAGCCCGTGCCAACCACGGCTAATCTTGTAGTCTCCTCCCTACTCCGCGGCGTGCTCTTTCCCCTTCATTTCCAGTTAACCTTGGAAACGAACCCCGAGCTCTGACAGACGTTGCTTATGACCAGTGGACCACATACTCCGGAGTACATACTTTTTCTCTGGCAGACCGGTCTGTGCTGTTCTCTTGAGCTTTATTGGAAGTCATAAAAAATCCTCACACATGACGATGACTTCAGACAAGCAGACTTCGGCCCCCCCTCCTTCCCAGGAGCCATGCAGTCAGCAGAAGTCAGGATGAACATGAGGTGCACAATCCTGAATGCTTACTTCTGCTCATGGACAAACCCTTTCCGACTAGAAAGGAGATGCTGAATCCTCAATAGTAGTGTTGTCGGCTCTTGATCTTCTGTCAGACCATTCCTTAAAGTCCATGCCGTCGCACTGACTCGGCACGGTCCAATGAGACCCGCAGCTAAGAATAACCCTCGACCGGTCCAGACACTTCTCGTGTCTCTTGGTTCTTTGGAATCCGACTCTCTCACTGCAGGAAAGACGGTATCTGCACGCTGCAAAAGCCCTTCAACCCGTCCCGGTGATGGTGGCTTCAATGCCAGGCACGCCGTCTCGTCTCGTCGCGGCAGCCACACGCACACAGTCCACACACACCCCTGGCTACCATTGACCCTTCCCCATCCTTTCCTTTTATTTTTTTTTGACTGTCTCTCTTTCACTTCGGGCTTTTGCCATCGTGCTCACTCCCAAGGGTATCAGTTCAACTCCGGGGGTTACACCAGAATGGTTTAAAGAAATCACCTCCCTGCCGCTCTCTGCATACTTCCCGGCAAACCACTGACTTCCTCCTTGCTCCGCGCCCCCCAGTGCGTCTCTATACTTGGACCTCGCCCAGCCATCTCAGAGGATCAAACCATGTTCTCTCGATGACCATCACACGTTCCTTACTTAGTTTTCTGGTTCAACTCGATTATATCTCACGTTCTTGCACCAGTCAATTGTAATACCACTCCCCAAACCCGGGGGCCCGTCTAGGGCTGCGTCGCTCGCTTCCTCATCTAATATAAAATGGATCTTCAATTTATATTGGGCCAATGGTCTCAACGTCGCGCTTATCTGCAGCTTGGTCGTTCACAGCTGATGCTACTTCTCTCAACTCTTCTATGGAGTTTTGTTACCATCCCGACGGTCTTAGCAGCTGTTCCACTCCTCCCGAAAGATCCTCGGGCATTGGCACCAGATTCAAGCATCGCGTCTGCTAACGGGGTAAATGTCCATGATATTTCACTTCGGGGAGATTCTGCCGGACAAATACAGCATGCCAGGCGAGAGATTGTTATTGTCGACCCCAAAGATATCGCCGCTCTCTCAATTCTCGTTGCAGACGAGGACTCTGCCATTCCGCAACAAGACAAATCTCACCTCTCAACCCGAGCGTCTTCCGATTCGGACTCTTTCCCAACTGCTTTCGATACTAGCCTCTCGAACAACTTCACAACCACTACGTGCCCCAATTTCTTCAAGTCTTTCCTCTCCAATTCAACCATCACCTCCTGTCATGCCGTCTCCATGCTTCTGCGTGATTCCAGCTCCTTCTTCCATGTTCTCACATCGGCTACGCTGACCTCTGAACTCCTTGACACCGCGTGTGCCTCGAATGTCACCGATTGCGCGTCCATTTTCTCTGCGCTCGCAGTCGAGTTGCTCAAGGAGGATGTTTGCGGCAAGGATCACTCCGCCGGCAACCCCCTGGTCACTAATGCGTACACTGACATGATCACATATGAGCCATTATATCGTGCTACATGTCTTCAATCACCTTCGACCAAGAATTACTGTTTCGTGGATGCGATCAGTAACACCACCAACTCCGCCGATTACGATGTTTATTTCCTCCCTTATGGAAGCACTATCTCCCCCTCCCCCTCGCCAACCTGCAATAAATGCCTTCAAGCTACTCTGGCTCTTTTTGCCACCTGGGCTGAGGTTGACGGCCAGCCCCTTGTCAATTCTTATATCCCTTCTGCTGAGGCTATCAATACTGATTGTGGGGAGAACTTTGCCAATGTCAATATTACTGTCGGCTCCGAGAAGGTTAGCTCAGGCTCTGGCTTGGTTGTCCCATTGCCGCAGTGGTCGACCTGGGGCCTTGTCACGTTTAGCATAGGACTAGCCACCCTGCTGACGTTCTAGGTCGTCACGAAGCAAGTTGAGTGATCTCAGATCTCGCCTCTCTTTGCTCCTTCTTTAGACAAGTTTCCCTTACATCGCGCTCTTCCTTCTTCTGAGCTCCATGTTGTGTGCTTGCTCTTAGTTTCTATTTTCAAGATGCGGTTATGGGTGACGACAGCGATTGCTAGGATTTACACTTTTTCTCGGGTTCCCCTTTTCTTCGTACACTTGCTTCGTACTCGGTTGGTGTGAAACTTGGTCGAAACTCTGTATACCTTTACTTCTTTGTGTCATATAGCCACGTAATGTTTATACTTAATCTGGAAACTCACTCATAGTCCGTCATCCCGCATTTGGACATAGTTGCAGCAAATACAGACTTTGGGCCTCTTGCGTGGCTCGCAAACTAAGGCACAGTGACAGAAGATGCAAAGACGAAACACCGACGTTCTAGACAATTTTAAACTTCATACTCATCCATGACAAACAGAACTACCACAGCACAAGCCCTATGAGAGTAGTTCTATGCACGGCCAATCTCCACCGTGGGGAAACCAAAGAAAAATGGATCCGATCGACTCTATGGCAACAGCGTTTGCGACGCAGTAAGTCCTAATACTTTCTGCGGATGAACGCCAAAAAACCCAATGCAACTGTTCGGATATTCAAGCTGCGATCTTGACTGGATTGTGGACTTCCTAGATTTAATTTGATAGAGGGAAAAGCAACATCCAAAGGGATATCATCAACCGCCTGCCAATCCATGATTTCCCCGCGGGTCTCCTCATCGGTGCCGGGCCGACTCACCGCCGGGCCTTGTTTGTTTGGGGTGCTTTCCCTTTCTGGGCAGGTTGTTGCATCACTGGGCACTGGGCACTCAGCTCGAGTTACATACCACTTGACCAAACTTGAACTATCTTCTCATTGTTTTACATTCTATCCAGCTGTCACTCACTTTGTATCCAGCCTTAATTGATTCCTTCCCGCCTCCATCCCAGACTGGCTCTCATCCAGTCCGTCAATTCCCCGCCATGGTAGGTGTTAACCCAACGTCCCAGTGTAATTCAACACCCGCTTATCGGACACCGACCCAGGTCACCTCCAATGCGCCTTTTCGGCCATCACCATTATCCTTTGGCTCTCCTCGAGCATCTCCCTTCCGCCGTCCATCCACATCCAACTCACCTCCGCAGGCGCGACCCAGTACTCCTGGCAACTCCCCCGGTCGCGGATACACGCCGGTGACGTCTCCCAGCAAGCTCAAGGAATCATATACGGTCGCAGATGAGGATGAAGGCCCTTCGATGCCTCATCAAGATCGCAGCCCGGTCGCTCAACCACGCTTGACACGCGAGGTGCCTCTGTCGCCCACGCGGGGGGGCAGCGCCCCAGACACCTCCCCGACGATGATGGCTACCAAGGCCACCCATATAATGGCAGCATCTTCGGATGCTGCCGCTCAGCTCTCGCCGGCGCAGTTGCGAGAAATCCGCGAGGCCTTCCAAGTTCTGGACCGGGACAATGACGGCTTTGTCAACAAGGATGATGTGACTGATGTTCTGGCGAACGTGGGTAAGTGGCACTTAATCATCTTCGTTCATCATAGCATGGCTGACAAGCACCCTTAAATCAAGGCCAAGACGCATCTGCACTTTCGCAATTCTTCCCGCCTGGAGAGGCGTCTACGATCAATTTTCCCACCTTCCTCAATACGCTTTCACAACTGCTCGCCCCGTTATCTGCCCAACGGGAACTCTTGAACGCCCTGGCGGCCTTTGACGAGGATGACAGCGGGCAGATCGACGTGGAGGAGCTGTGCGACGCTCTGATGCATACCGCCCCCGAGGACGGAGATCGGCCGCTCACCGAGCGGGAAATCCGAGACGTGCTGAATGGGTTCACGGGCCGTCGGGCATTCGGGGCCAAGGGCGCACGAAGCACCGGAGGGGGTAAACGTGGGGAGGTCTTCCGGTATCAAGAATTCGTCAGTGGGCTTGTGGGCGGAACAGAGACGAATCAAACCACACGACGCGATGCCTAACGGAGTGATTTAGTTTTGTTATTCTTGTTTTTCCATTTTCTTTTTGGCCCATGGCGTACGGAGACACGAAGCATCAGCTTTGCGACTGAATTGTGGCTCTGGCAGCCATGCAGTTGCAAAGTAGACGACATGATTGTGATCGATGTGCTTGTATTTATTCTGCGTGTAGAGACGAGAGCGAAATTGAGATTGTGATGGAGATGGAGATTGGAGACGGAGGGTCCCCACATCGGCCCGAATTTAGGTTTTCTTTCCTCGAGTCAGGCTGGCACGAGAAGCTGTCAATCAAGGGAGGGGGCAGAGCACGACGGAGATGATCTTTTAGAGTTGGCATGCGAGGGCCAGCCTTCTCGTGCAATCAACATAATATCAAATTCAATCAATCAGTCAACTAAAAGGTCGATGATGATGGTGGTGGTGGATGGATTGAACTAATGAACAACTAACTCGCAGTAGTGCCAGGAAACTAAAAAGACTAGTCCCAAAGTCGAATTTCGCCAAGTCCAGAATGGAACCTGAACTGGCGGATTATTGATCGCTGATTGAATTGGTGGACTGTCAGTAACTTACTATGTACATGAGTAGTTCAACTACGGAGTAGCTAACTGGAAACTCTCCTCACTACAACTTCTTTGCTGTTTTGTGTTTTTTTTTCTTCCCTTTTTTGACTATTCTACTAACTTATTTCCTGCTAAGAAAAATTACTTGCATTCTTTTCTAATAACACCCGGGAGATCCACATCACAACCACCACCACCACCACCACCACCACCACCATTCACTTACTTACTACCTTCTCTTCAATTTCAACTTCGAATTGAACCTGCATTCTTTCACTCCTTCCCTTTCTTCTCCCTCCCCCCTCCTCCCCCTCCATCTCCCCCAGCCTCTCCCTGGTCTGTTCTGTTCTGTCTGACCAGGAAGATGGTTTCATGTGTCGCCTGCACTTCCAATAACAGTCCTTGCTGATCCTCCTCTCCCTCCTCCTCCTCCTCCTCCTGCTGCTCCTCGAACTCCCCGATCGACCTTTCCCCCCCTCCTCCCCCCCCTAATCATGTCGCCTTCGCCTACTCCTTCCTCCCTCTCTCCTACACGTCCTACCTCCTCTGTACCACCTTTTTCGCCTTCTTCCTCCTCTACTGCGGCCTCCCCCCGACCCACTCAAGCCCAATTGACTCTCGCTGCTTTGGCCAGGTCGCCCTCATCACCCCGGACTATGCGAGGCTTGCGCAAGATCAAGTCCCATCAGATCCTCTCCTCCCATCCACCTCCACCTCCCTCATCCGGACGCCTCTCGGCTGGTGCGGAGGAGCTTCCCGCGCCCGGACCCCAACTCGATTCCCCCGTGCGGCTTCGCAGTACACATCGCCGCGCACGTTCTAATAGTGACGCTTCCTCCCGGGAGCCTCCCATACTCACCGCGCACCGAAGACCCGGTAGAAAGACTGGGTCGGGATTTGGAGTCAAGCGGTCGTTGCTTGAGTCGCTCTTGCGCGACGGTCCGCAAAATGGGAACGTCCGAGAAGGACTAGAGGAGCTGCGTTATCTTGTCCTTTCGACACGAGTCGAAGCAGACGCAGATGGCATGGTAGGATCTAGCGATAATGATGGGTGACTTGATTACTCAAGTCAATGTTGTAATGGGCATGTCCGCTAATAATTCTCGCCGTGCCTCGCTAGTCTACCTACCGAGTTTATCTCTGGCTCGTTCTCCTCGATACGCCGCCCGTATCGACCGACGAATACCTGTCACTTATCCATCGAGGCCGTTCCCCCGCCTACGCTAAGATTCGCAATGATACTTTCCGCACCCTAGCCACCGATCCCCTTTTCAAACGACGCGTCACAGAAGCTAGTCTGATCCGACTTCTTAATGCTGTTGCGTGGAAGCTTCACGATGCGAAGAGCAAGCGTCGCGCCCGTCCGCGACTCTCGACCGGTCGTCGGCGCGAGATGGAGCTCCTTATTAATACACCCCCAAGCATAGCGGAAGAGCCCTCCCCGATGGGAAGCACTCCCGGGAGTGTGATCAGCAACAGCACCAGCAGCGCTTTTGGTAGTCCTGGCATCACAAATGAGTCCGCTATCTACGTGCAGGGAATGAATGTACTCTGCGCTCCGTTTCTCTATGCCGCCCGCAGTGAAGTGGAGGCTTTCGCCTTGTTCCATTCGTTCATCCTCCGTGAATGTCCGGGCTACATCCGAGGAGCCATGGATGGCGTCCACCGGGGTCTGCGACTTGTCGATCGATGTTTGGAGATCGTCGAGCCCAAATTAGCAGCCTACCTCTTCTCCAAGGGGCTGCAGGCTGAGTTGTATGCGTTCCCCTCTGTGTTGACCCTGTGTGCGTGCACGCCGCCCCTACCGGAGGTTCTGCATCTCTGGGACTTCCTGTTCGCCTACGGACCACATCTGAACATTCTATGCATCGTTGCGCAATTGATCCGAATGAGGGATATGATTCTCGAGAGTCCAAGGTATGTTTATTGATCATGACCTCATCATAACATCACACCTTGAGACACCACAACACGTGCGGGAAAAAAGAACTCACCGTAAACCAATGAAACACATCATCTTCCTCTGCCCCCTTACCGGATAAGACCCATCGAACTAATCCAGATCACCCACATGACAGTCCCAACAAAGTCCTCCGCTCCTTTCCTCCTCTCGACGCCAAGGAGATCATAGCCTTGACCGTCTTGCTGGTCCGCAAGATTCCCGAACCGCTCTACGCCGAACTAATCAACCACGCTAAATGAAGCTCCTGCGCTTGCCCGCTTTGCTTATTCGCCTTGCCCCTAGCCAGGCACAACTTAAGATGCTCCCGAATGAGCCCTATCGCGGACTCGAGAATCGATGCATTAGCTAACTCCCGCCTTCTCATCCCTCCTATCCCAACTTCCCCGAGAAACATACGATACCTCTCTCCACCTAACCTAACCTACCTTATCCAAACACATATGATACCTGCTGCCATGAGTTCCAACGAGATGAAACGACCATTTTTGTTTACTTGCTTGTTTGTTTTTCACCAATCTTGCATTTACATCCTACAAAAGGAGTCGATGGGAGGAATTTCGCTTTCCATCTGTACTTTTATCCTTTTCTTTGATAACCTTTTCCCCCGCGCCTCCCTACCTCATCGCTCGTTGCCCTGCCGCCTGCATGTGTGTTTGGTGTGTTTGTTACCCTGTTCCGGTATGCATTTGTCATCCGATTACTAAATCGATACTAACCTGTATTTACTGTACTATCCTCGCTTCGATTTTGGTGTTTTGTGCGCTTGATGCTCCGCATTTGATATGATTTTGACATGAACTGATTGATTGACTGATTGACTGACTGACTGATTGACTGATGACGAGGCGCGCCTCCTGATGAAACTGTCAACTGGATTGATTGGGGTTTGGTTGGAGTATAACCCTATGATGAAGGGACCATGAAACGATGATTTGTTTTTTTTATTATTGATGATGACGATGATGATTATGATGGTGACATGGAGGAATTATTCTCTCACATTGCATATGGGATAAATCCTCATGTGATCCTTGTGTTTCCTTCAACTCACTTCCTGATGCTGAGGACAGCCAGGGTTGGGTTGACCCGCAGAATTAGATTTGATAGATGATACGACACATTGTTGAGTGAAACGAGGGAAATAATGCTATTACATATAGATTCAAGGCGTTCCTTGGAATAAGGGAAACCGCTTAGTTGATCCAAACTCGCAGCAACAATGGGTGAGATAAACGTATTTAGATTAGTCTTTTTCTATCGCGCAAATCCCCTATATTCCAAGAAAAATAGTCAAGAGAAAAAACAAATAAAAAAGAGACCATCTCTAAGAAGCAGCCAAAGTCCGAACTCATAACGCCTCGGAGACCCTTCGTCTCTGCCTATCTAAGTTTCTTATACTGATCTACCTGCACCCCATGAAAATAAAAGAAGGGAAACAATACACTGGAAGAACCCCAACATGAAAACAAGAAGGTTACATGCAACAGACATGTGGCGCTCTCCTCCAAGTCGTGGACCAAAATCTACATTGGAGTCAGAAGGGCCGCCAAAGGGAATGGGTCCGTCCCATTCCACTCTTTCAATTGTCTGCCAGATTTCATGGGCACGCGGACAGACAATTCTTTCACGGCTCTAAGACCACGAATGAGAGGTGAATAGGGGGGGGATGCTGGCTAGGTAGGACCAAATACCTTGCCTAAGTGAGCGATACTAGGTCGCCACAGCTCTGCGTCCAGTTCCAGACCCGTTGACCACCAGTGGGCCACAGCGGTCGGTCTGTTTTACGGCCGTGGAAGTGGAAGACGAGGGGGACGCTGGAGGTGAGGTATCCCTCGAGGTTGTTGGGGCTGTGGCTTCGCTGAGTGATGTATCTTCCGTTGGGGGGCCACGGCGGTGGTCTTTAGAGGTATTTGTCGGCGGTTTGAATTGCATATTGCTTTGGCGGAGGGGGTTGTGATTCCTTATGCTAGTATTGATGCTAGTTCTGGTGAAATTGACGGGGTCTAGCGGGGCATTTGATGTGTTCTGAAGCATACTCCTGTCGATTTTCACGCGGATCCTGGCCCCCAGGAAGGTGCAGCCGTTGTACAGGGCGATGGTGCGTTTGGCTTCCTCGGCAGTTCGGAAGGTGACCCGCGCGAAGCCTCTGCAGCGTCCAGATTCCGTGTCCAGCGGCACCTCGCATTGCTCGATTGCGACCCCTGAGGCCTGGAAGAGGTCACGCAGTGCCAGGCCACTCGTTGCGGGGCTGAGGTTTTGCACAAAGATAGTACGACGTGGTGAGAAGTGTGCGGGACCCGCGGAGCTGCTGGGCTGGTGATAGGCCTGCGAGGTGAAGTTCACATTGTCGGAATGGTAGTTGTGAATAGGTTTACGGGGGAAATTGGTTCGTCGTCCGGCTGTGGTGCCAAATCGCGTGCTTATGGGGCCTTCGACGAATGGCTGAACAGCGGGGAATGGGTAGGAGGGGAGGATGGGTATAGCGAAAGCATCTCTGAAATTGTGCCGGAGAGGGGCGGAAGACTGTGGTATAGCAGGAATGGCGTGCTGAGTGACTGGGTCGGCGAAAACAGGCAGGAAGGGCTGATGCTGATGAGGTATACTCATGAGGTCAATCACCGGGCCATATTCGGAATTCGGATACGTTGGACTCGTGGAGATGACAGGTCTGTTCGGTGTCAGCCGACAAACCAAGTCAGACTCAGCCTACCCTAGCTATTTCCACTTACTCAGGAGATATTGGGGAAGGAGGAACGGCCATGTTCTGCGTGACCCTCGGCGGCGTCGAATAGCCCGCAATATAATTAGCAGGAATCAAACACGTGGGACTCTTCGTCGGGCCAGCAACCGGGCGTGTAGGCGAGCTGGTCCGAGCTAGTGTCACAACGAGGCTTTGGCCCTCCCAGCCGGTCGTGGATAGCCTCTCTGGAGAAACGCGGTGTCAGTCCATGCACGTTTATTGACCAGTCACCCGGCTTCGATGGCAATGGAGAAGGCTCAAGTACGCACGATATGTTCGCCACGCTTCGTCCTCGTTCTTAACGATGATCTGGCCTAGCCCGGTTGGAAATCCATGCTGGTCATCGTACACTACAGCCTGTCGGATATGTAGGGCTGTTTGGCGGACCAGGTCTTTGAGCTCCTGCCAGCGGCAATGCGCTGGGATCTAGTTCAACGGAGAGATAAGCAAGACACGAAGGCAGCGAGCACGGTCGAGGAACCTACTCCCTGGAGGAACAAGACAAACTCCTCATCCGACCTTCCCTGCTTGGACGTTCGCCCTTTGTCGCGCGAGGACGTTGGTGCAGGCATGTTATCGTGCAGTCGTGGTGATTGGAGCACCGTCACGGCTTCCGATTATACCTAGTAGTTGTATAGATCGATCCGTCGGTACTTGAGGGACCAGTCACACGGGTTTGCTGCGTCCGGTTGGTTCCCAGACAGGCTCCGCGCCAAAGCTCGGAACCCAGCGGGAAAGTGATGATAGAGTTGAACTCTGTTGATCCAGAAGATGGTGATCAGTGATCAGTATCGGGTCAGAAATAACCCAGAGACCTCGCCGTAGAAATAAGTGCTGGAAGGTGCTCAAGGCGGGCCTGCTTACCGTTCTAGGTTCCAGGAAGCTCCGGTCGCACAGATGAACGAGTGAGGTCGGACTGCTTAAGAAGCACTGATCCGCAGCGGGAGGATCCAGCTGAGTGACTGCACCTTCGTCGATTTTAAAGCGATACGAGCAAAGGGCCGGAGGAGGGTCGATCGATTGCCTACATGGAGGGCGTCCCGCCACCCAGAGACAGCTGAGACGTTGAGACCGAAACTGACGCAGAAGTAACCAGCTTCGGCGAAATCGAGGTTCGAATGTGACGGTAGATTCAGGAAGGGGGCAGAAAGAGGAAGAGAATCACGCGAAAGATCAAGTAACGTTAGCAGTAGCAGGAGCAGCAGCAGCAGATCGCTAGTGCGAGGGATACCTAAAAATACCATGGACATGGAGATGGGGATGGAGCTCGGAAGTGAGCAAGTCAGATCCGCTCAGCGAGGATAAACGAGAGGCACGGATGCATCCGCTGACGAATGAAGGAAGGGTTATCTTTCTCTGATTGCTGGAAACCAAAGCTGTCTCTTGTACTTCGAAATCGAGAAGTGTGAGTGGATAAGATGCTGAGAGGCTTGGGGGAGAGGGAGAGGAGGTGTGGGCACTGGGAAGGGGAAGAAGATGTGTCAGGTTCAGGAAGGACGAGGGGGGATGATATGTCATGCATGATCGACTGTGGTGGATGGATATATCAAAAAGTAACAAGTAACAAGTAACAAGTAACAAGTCAGGGAGGTCAACACAGAGAGGTAGGAAGCAATGACATGAAGTATTCAGGAAGTGTCAGTGAAAAGTCTGAAACAGAAGGAAATTAAATGGAATAAAATTAAGTAAAGTAAAATCTAATCAAATGGAATAAAGTACAATGGAATGTATTGTTGCTTCCTCCCTACAGTTTTCCAATTGTTGTTCTCTGCTTATTACAGTACTTGGTTGTCACATTTACATCTACAATTACACCGCCAGATCCCAGGACAGCCACCGACAGCAGACCGCAGTAGACACCACCAGACACCAGACAGCACTGCATGGTCTGGTCCTGGCTGATTGCATGGAGAGTCTAAGTAAAAAACGCAAGACGAAAAGCCATTTTCCAGCCAATAAAGTCTGCGAAACCAGGATGGTCCTCTCGGATCAGACACGAAGGCTCCAGCGCTCAGGAGTCACCATAGACTAGATACCTCAGCGGAGTCAACCTGAAAACTTTTGCTTTTTGCTTTTTTCCCCCCTCTCCATCTTCTTGGTCTAGTTCTCGCCTTCTCCAGACTTGACGCCAATACAGATAACCTCAGCCCCGGCTTAGGTGGAGCTGGTTGTGTCAGTGACCGACCTGTCTCATGTCTGATATTTTCCCTCGTCTGGCAGACGAGCACTCGTCCAGTGGCGGTGTTTTTGTGTCATATTAGTCGTCTCGGCTATCTGTTAAGGTATCCCCAAAATAGGGAACTCGGGATTCCATCTACTTGAAGGGCGACAATGGCAAACGGAAGTTATTCGGCGGTCATCATGAGCGAGTCCCTATAGTCAGTGTAAGTCATACAGGAACCAAGACAATTCCCGTGGAAGCGACAAAACAGTGTCGCAACGATTAGATGAAGGTCACTTTTGACAAGAGGCAGTTGAAATATTCACAGACGTGATGTCCTTGTGGCTGCCGAAGTTGCCCCTGGTCCCAGTCGCCGGGCGATCGAGATCCAACTGCGGTGACCCTGGTGCATCTGAAGGGTCATATTCCTCAAATCTCCCATTGTCCCAGCCACCCCCAATGCACAGATGCTTCGTCTGCCACCTCCGACTTTCGTCGCTCCGGTCACCGCCGGATACATTCCACGACGGTCGCACTGCAGGGGTCTGAGGCCTGACAGCTCGGGACGGGGTCAGGATACACCAAACGCTCGGGCGGCAGATGCCTGTCTTCGGTCCGTCATCACCTGTCTTCGGTCCGTCATCACCGAATTGGAAAGCGGACCTGAGGAGGTGAAACCTCGAGAAGTGGGATCTCAAAGTGTGGAAAGCTGGGCTGCAGTACACACACATACATACAGACACACGCGCGCCCCCAAGTTTGTTAATCAGATTGGTGTGGAGCGATGAAGACCTTGTTGGAGGATGGATTCGGTCACGGTGGTCCTAAAACCGACAGGAAGAAAATGAAGTAGGCTCATATGAGCTTCGGGGCCGGATTCAGCTCGCAAAGAGAAAGCCAAGATGCCTTGCCATCGACTACGACTCGACTAAACGTCAGCCTGCGCAAAATATCCTTGTAGTCCCAGCCGGTCTCATCATCTTGAGCTCACCAGTCAGGACGGATGATTTAGTCACCAAACGACATGGGGATTCACAGGGATTGGAACCAACCCCACTTCCCAAAGGAAGGACCGATAGTTGGAGCGATCGATCGATAGGCAAGATCCGCCCTCAGGCTGCTCTGCTCCACGGTCCCATAGTCTTGGTAAGATCTTCCGCTAGCAGAGCAATCACTCGTCTAGAAGAGACGGGGAAGGCCAGGCAGGCGCTTGTCCGAATGAGGCGGGTTCGCGCGACGTATCATGCATCCTCGAATATCACCAGCCTCGACGATATATATACGGAGTACAGGTATCCCATAACTGGTGCGATGAGCCGCAGACTGTGCCCAAGGTCAGGCCCTTAACCACGGTCGCATGGACCAAGCTTTCGATGGTGTCACGGTTTCTCCAGTGCTGTATTCTCTCCTCGGGAACCTTCAGATCATGCTTTGAGAATCGCAGCTTCGTACAATAGAGACGGCGACTCATGTTGCGCGCACGTGTCCACAGCACTGGGGAGGAATTATTAATGAAGAGCTTTATGGGTCCGTGGGGGATGCATGAGCGATCCGAACTCATATTACCCTTCAGGGATTCTGGGTTCCGTGCAAAGGGCGCTCATACTCGTAGAAGAAGTTCTGCCTGCTTTCACAAAGGTAAATGGCGACCGAGGTGAGAGTTTCACCAAATTGAGGGGGGGGAATAAGTAAAAAAAAAAAAAAAGAAAGAAAGAAATAGTTTCAGCAAGACTTGCGACAGTTAGTGCAGTGACAACATAGATGAGAAGGTAAATTATCGGTCACATGTCCAAGGAAGCTCTGAAAAGAAGCCATCCGTCAAGTGTGACTTTTCCTTTTTGACATGTCCGCGTTCCTGAGCGCACATGGCAGATCATACTTTGAGTCTGTCAATTGTTTATTTAGCACTTCCGCGATGGTTCTACGACTTGGCCTTACCTTGACTATTGATGAGACCATGCTATGAACTAAAGATTGTCACCACCTTCTTAAACTGGACTGGGATCGTCATGGAAGAGACATCCACCTCTCACCCCCTTTTTTTTGGCCTCTTTTGCAATTGCTTATCCAGGCAAGTGACAGCTTTGCCGGAGTGGAACCATGGAGACAGGCAGGTCGCAGACCAGACAACCGATGAAACCAACCTCCACCCCCAAACCACGGCGTCACTCAACACCGACCCACTGATCAGCGAACAGCGAAATACTCGACTTACCCGACCAAGGTTGACAACCATAGACAACTGCAAAGGGAAGGCAGCCACGGTACTAGGAGTAGCTGTAGGCGGGACTGAGCAAGATAGGAATTTACACTTTTGAATTTCATGGTAGGTTTACTGGTTGACCCTCAACTTAGTACTCCGCTGCGTCCACCCGGTAGTTAACTACAGTGCATTGAGTTAAGTCATTTTTCTCTGCTTCATTTGCCCGATTTTGACTTTCTAGTGTTTCTGGTCTGGTTGATTTTTCTCCATGTCGGGGGCGGGAAGAAGATGATCTCCCCGAAGAACATCGCATGAACTATTGTTTATCTTGGGTCAATCCCAAACCTTCTTTCTTTTTCCATCAAGGTTGAGATTAACCTTTCCGACTATCTAATGCTGTGTGTGGTACGGGTGATATGTAGCAGTGTCTAGTAGCTACTTCATCTTTCCATTCCAACCGATTTGAACCAATCAGGCATGATAATCACATCATTTCAGTCAACATATTACGTAGATGTGTGCGCGACAAACCAGACTAAGTTCCCCTCTCGGGCTGCAAGGGGGAGGGGGTGAGGAGGGAAGGCGGGGGATCGCTGGAGGCTTTTCTATAGCTCGCTGTCGTTTGTTTTAACTTACTGTCCATTAGATAACTTACAGACTACGGAGTACTCCGTACATCATGGATCGTTACCTACCGGGCCGACGACAGAGCGAGAAGGAGGGGCACGACGGGAAGAGGTCTATACTAAGTCACTAACAAGAACAAACGCTTCACGCGCCCCCCCCTGGCAAGCAAGCACGCCAGCGGGGATTCGCGTTTCGCGACGGTGACCTTGGCAAAGGGGGACCTTGCGAAAGAGGATAATAGCGAAGCTCCAGCTGTTATCCGACTCGAGCCTGCCTAGTCTAGTGGACCTCCACTACTGCGACTAGAATGAAATCAACCAAGCCAGCTCTAGTAAGTCGTGAAAGTGTGATAGGCCGCCAGGACAACAATGTAAACCAAGTCCCAATCTTGCGGAGAGGCTAGTCTTGATTCTCTGTTAGCTTGAGGAGGGGAACTGTAGTCATGAAAAAATCGCGCTGGAGCTAAAATAGACCACCTTAGTTTGATCCATGATGACGATGCAGTGATGGGAAGACACTACCCAAAAAGTAAAAAGCGGGAGGGGAGAAGAGAAGACACACACACACACATATAGAGAGGGACAGCGCTAGTCAGTTTGAGGGGATGGTTGAGTGGGCTCGGGGCATGTGCGGGTGCTGCGGCGGACGGATTTTGCTTGGACGGGGCGGGGAAGTGCGAAGGGAAGGGGGAAACCACCAAAAAAAATAATAATAAAGAGGAAAGGGGAAAGGTCGAGCAGACGCTGAAGATGTCTAAATATAACCACCTCAAGGCAAGTAAAGTGGAAGAACTGTGTTCGGTGTGTATCATAGGCATACGCAATGTTAATGTTGATTCTGTCTGAGGTAATTGACCATTGTTTACCTCGCTACCCCATATCGCGGGGTTCAAATTCCGGGGGGAAAGGGCTATTGCAGCTTAGACCTTATGAGAAGACAATATTAAGACAAGGCCTCAAGCACGAAGCACCTTTGGCATGCAGCTACTATATTGGGACAAGTAGGACGAAGTAGGTCGGGTATTTCTCCTGATTACTTTTTGTAGTGGTGGAGTGCTACGCTACGTTTACTGTGGTCAACCGATACAAATGAGATCGGCGCTTGTTAGCACAAGATCAAAACAAATTACGGTCGCTGATGGCAAAATACACGCAAGCGTTCTATTGTAAAGCTGTCGATGTCACTTAATTGGAGAACATTTGTTGAGTTTCACTGGCAGCTTTCCTGCATACATACAAAGGGGGCTATCAACACATGCAAAACAAGACTGGCTAATGTATTCGGTCACAAGAACTCGTGGCCTGGAACCCTGAAGCTGCGGAATGGAACAAACATAACACATTCTTGGAACGTGGGGATCCAGATGCTACATGCCTGGGCCAAGGGTTACAATGCGCAATACAACAATGCGCAGACATCAGACGCCATTCGATTCCCCATCCTTTGACTTAGGAAGGAACAGATGGAATCTTGTAGATCTTTCCTTCTCCAGATCGAGAGCACAGAGCGAGACTTGTCAAAAGTATCGCTTCCAAAAGATTCCAATTTTCTCAGAAAATCTGCCTTAGTCTTCATGCAGGGGGGGAGGGGGGGGGTTCGGGCAAAGCGCGTGAGCAGCAGGCTCTTCCATGTTCTTCGGAAGTATTGATCGTTGAGGCCGCATGGCACCCAGACTGGCCCAGAAAACAGATCGTCAACACTCAGGCTGCACCCATGCAGGTCCAATTCAATGGATTGCGGATATGTGATTTGGGTTGAATGGCGGCATTCCCGAGCAGTGCCGTGGAAGCGAGCGTGCGGATAAAGGTAGAGGCACACATTGGAAGACCAGCGATTTCACGTCGGTTTGTGGCCTGGTTCTGATTCGGGTACAAGCGGTTAGAGTAGGTGACGAAAGCACTGTTCATGTTGATGTTGTTTGGTTCATCCGAATTGAAATCACGAGTGTTGGTCCATTGATTCCGTCTTTCAACGAATGAAGCCGACCATGGACGCACACCGGCTGCAGTAGTAGGAGTTCATGCCAAAACGAACCACACCGGGGGATGACTCGTTCTCAAGGCTCATGGAGCGCTGACATCTCGAACAGCGGACAATGTCGAAGTTCATGGAGGTTGGACTTGAACTGGCGGGAGAAGCGACGACCCCTTTAGGAGTTCCGGTGGGTGGGTGTTGTACTCGAACAGAAGACGAACTCATTTTTCTCCGACCGATTGTGGCGGCCCTATGCCGAACAGTTGAGGCGAGAAACTCCGTTGCTCGTGGAACAGTGATTAGAGATGAAGGCGGAAGGGCGGTTATTTAGATGAACTCGAGCGAAGTGGCTGTGCCGGCTGGCGGTCAATTGAACGGGCGGAAAATTGGGGGAAACGATGCGCAGAAGTCGATGGTAGGTAGAATGAGACCACCGGATCAAAGGTCTCTTTCCCCGCGAAATCCTAGGCAGCAGTAATAGACCACAGAGGTGAGGCGAGATAGATTGCAAAGGTAGTTGCGATAGGTAGGTAGGTAGTGGTAGTAAGGGAGGTATAGATGTAAGTAGGTAGTGGCTGTTAGTAAGTAGCAGTTGGTAACTGAGTAGATGGTTGGAGTCGTGGCACAGGTAGGTAGGTATATGAGAGCGACTGGAGTAGTGATCAGAAGATGAAAAAGGAGTTCGGAGCTCAAATTCCAGCTGGGCTGTAGCTGCTGGAAATATCTCTATATGACCAGAAAGCCCAGCGCCAAAGGAAGGAAGTCCTCAGGGTCAGATCGATCTCCACTTCTTTCGCTCCGTAATTGCACCGGTCTGGTTTAGCGGAAGCAAAATAGTACGTGGTAGTAATTTATAGTGATTGCCTCAGGTAAAACGGTAAAAACCGAAAATCGAATCTCGGAGTAAGGAAAATTAAAATCCAATGATAAGACAGGGGTAGGATGTGCAAATCTGATGAAACCAGGGAGATGACCACCACCACCACCACCACAATAACGATAATAACAACAATAACAATAACAAAATAATGAGGCTAACAACTCAAGACCGTACGCATGAGGAATAAGGCAGCTGATGCTCAAAGCAGCTGCACGGAATGTGGGGATCGGGTTTCAGACTTGATGATGATTTTTTCCACTGTGTCAGTCAACCACAGGAGGATAATTTAAAGTGTTGTTGTTCGGGTGAGGCAGCTGCTCGGGTCCTTTTTCAATGCAGCAATCCATGTAGGGATGGATGATGGTGGTGATGGAATGATGTGTTTAATAACTACCTAGTACTAGGTAATCATCAAGTAACGCTTGCCTGGATGGACCGGAGAAGCGGCAGCCGACTCTCATGACTACTAACTACCTACCTATCAAGTGGTTGGCTGGTTATTCTACCGAATAGTAGTACTTCAACTTACTACGTAGGTGTAATTTTGAAATATACAACTAGGCTTAATTTTCCCTTCCCTGTTGGAGGCTCCTGGATGGAGGAACGAACCGGTGATGCGAGTCTTTTCCAGTTCTCTGGAGTGCTTTCCCTGTGGCATCATCACTCACCTCATTCATCATCTATCATCCAGGTTGATTCGATCGTTCCACCACCCCTGTTACTCGGTCGCATCTTGGGCAACCTCCAATTAGGACTTGGTTTCATACTATACAAACCTTTTGCTTTG